CCTGCCTTTGTATATACCACTGAAAGTGGGAAATCAAACCAAGAATGAATAGATGAATTATATTCTACCTTGCAGAACTCTTTTAGAAGCTTACATAATTTTTAAGCTGAAAGGAACCTTACATAGAAACTAGTTCTATTTCTTCACATTACTAATGAATAACAGGCCCCAAGGGTTGCCGGTGGTTACAGAGCACTTAGGTGCAACACCAGACAACCACCCTTGTCTTCTGACTTTGTGCGGCTCAGAACTGGGTGAGAAATGGGCATGGGAGGTTTCTGCTCCCTCCAAATCTCCAACTAACTCCTTCTCTTCTATTATGTGAACAGTTGATTTTTTAAAAATGTCAGTGTAAATACAGCTTCAAATCCCCCTTTTCTCTAATTTAAGCCACATGGATACTCTTATATCCTTCCAATATAAAAATTTCAGAGCATCTCTTGGTCTAAGATTCTAGAATTTTTTCCAATATGGTTAAAAAGTAACAAAAATTAAAAATAAATAAAATCAATAAAGAAAAAAATATTTAAACTAACAAACAAATGTTCCCAAAATGTTATCCTATGCCTCGGTTATTAAAACTCTTTTAGGTGAAAAAAAAAGAAAACAGGAGTGGCTTAAGTTAAATAAAATAAACAGAAATAGCCCCCCCCCCCCCCGAAGTTACTTAGCCATTAAGCTGCATTTGAGAACTAAGGAGAAAACTTTCAAGGAAGAAAAAGGCAAAAACTAGTTTACACCTGAACAGGAATGGATTCCTCCGGGGTGACTGTGTATCAGCTGCCATTTTGTCATGCGACGTGATGACTAGGTTCCTGGTTTTGAAAGGTTTAAAATTCTCTCTACAGTGACAGAGTCAGTGCAAGTCGGTCTGGTAGTTTTTCTTCTTGTTTTTGTTAACAAAGTGATGATAACGTCTCTCTCGAGGACAAGCTTAACTCATCAAAAATCCTGCCTACATTTGATTTTTAATTGGGTCCTTATGAAGTGGGTCAGGCCAATTGATGTTATTATCCCCATTTCAGGGATAGGGAGAGGAAATGAGGGCCTGGAGGCATCTGGCCCAGTCCTGAGAGCTGGGACGGCTGCCAGGGCTCCCCAGACAAGAGGGCTCCTGACGTGCCATTGAGTTGGCAGTTTAACTCAAACAGTCCCAGCAAGACAGTTTTGGTGCTTGCATTCATGTCCTTGATCTCGGCAAGTAGAAGTGGTAGTTCTGTCCAGGACAGTCTTGTTGCTCACCCAAGGCAAGGACAAGAATCAGTGCATCTTTTGAGGTCTCCTTCAATTATTTTATTCTGTTTATTTATGCATTTTAAAATTAGAAAATTTGGAATCATGCAGACCTGGGATTTGCTAATTACACAAGGGGTGACCTTGTGAGATCACTTAATATGCCCCAGACTTGGTTCCTTTATCTGTAAAATGAGGTTGCTGTAAGAATTACATATGTTAAGTGATGTGAACCATTTAGCATCATGCTTTCATACTTGAGTACCCCAGGTCCAAACTATGTCTATTCATGTCAGTTCTTTTTTATTTTTCCTCACCCGAGGACATTTTTTTGTTCAGATAGAGTGGGAGGGAGGGAGGGGACACATCGAGTGGCTGCCACCCGCACAATCAACCAGGGCTGGGGACAAACTGCAACCGAGGTACACTCCCTTAGCGGGAACCGAACCTGGGTCTCTCTGGATTGCAGGCTGATGCTCTAACCACTGACATAGGGCTAGTCATGTCAGTTCTATCTTCAAAACATTGTAAATCTAGAGGTTAACCAGTTTAACAACTTCTCTCCTACACCTCAGTCAAAGCCATCACTGTCCCTCACATATAGTACAGCTCCTATCTAAACTGTGTTCCCACCCATTCCCTTCCTCCACTTTAGAAGCCAGAGTGGATCTTTAAAAATGCAAGTTAGACTATTAAGAAACTCTGCTCAAAGACCTCCAGTGGCTTTCCATCGCACCCAAGTCCAAAGTCCTCACTGTTACCTACAGTCTTACAGTGATCTCTCCCTTAGGCATCTCTGCAACATCTCCTCCTCCCATCCCCTCTTTCAGTGTTCCATATTCTTTGTCTTCCTGTCATTCCTCAAGCAGAGCAAGTTCCTACTATGCCTGTTTGTATTTAGTGTTCCCTCTTCTTGGAAAAACTTTCCTTCAGATTCACTACTTTGTTCCCTCCCTCACTTCCTTTGGATTTCTGCTCAGATGTTACATTATCCATCACCTTCCCAACCTCCTATATTTCAATATGTGATGCATATATTAATTTCATATTAATTCAATCAATAGGTGTTCTGTCGATATTTAAGATGGATAGTAAATTATAATAAAAAGAATAGGTAACATTTATTGAAGTTTTTCTGTGTGCCATGCATTTTGCTTTCCTTTGCAGGTGGCCATTTGTCTTAGTGTACTCTGTCACTTGCAGTACATCTTCTTACCTCAGATGATACCTCCAACAAAAATCCTTTTATTAGTCAGGCCAGAAGTGATTCTTCACTCCTCTGTGGTCCCCACAGTGATCAGTTCATACCATTTACTTTCCCCTTGTGTTGTAGAGTTTTTATAAGTATTTTCTCTTAAATACAGTAAGACATTGAATGGCAGAGGCCATATCCAGTACAACTTCATATAATGCACAGTTTGTAGGACAGCCTCACATTTTATAATCCAACTCAGTTGTTTAGAAAAAGTACATATGCTTTTTTTCAAGTTGTGTAAATGAATTAATATTGATGGATAAATGTGATTTGGTATAATAGATTTTAGAACCTGACATCTCAGAGATAGTATTTCAGAGACAGTATATTCAAGACAAAATTAGATAAAGAAAAAAATAAAAAATATTAAGGTACAAAAGTCAGTTAAGTGCATCATTATGAGACTAGATGAGCATAAGGTTGAATTGCCCTACCATATAAATATGACAAACTTAACATATTTATAAAAAATTCTTGAAGAAGTAGTGGTCATTCTTTCTTAATTCTCTACAGTAATCCTATATTCCTTTACTTATCTTTTCCATACTTTGTTTACCATGTAATAGAAAAACTAATAACAAAATATTTTTTCTATGTTAGAGAGAAGAACCTTTCTGGTTATTGTAGTTTCCTTTTGGGCTATCAGAGTATCTCTGTATTCAGGTAAAATTTTTTTGTTGTTTTGTGGTCGTGGTACTTTCATCTACTCTCCTGTGAAAAAGTCTCAGGCATTGAGCTAAGTGCTCAGGAAGACTCTCCCTGTATACATAATGTATAAAAAATCAAAACCCCCAAAATTCTTTCTATTGGGTTGCCAGATTTAACAAATAAAAATAAAAACAATAAGTTAAATTTTAATTTCAGATAGACAACAAATAGCATTTTAGTATGGCTCATGCAATATTTGGGACATACATACACTAAAAATCATTTGTTTATTTGAAATTCAAATTTAATTGGGTGTCCTGCAATTTATCTGGCAGGCAACCCTACCTCCATAGAGGTTGCTATGGTAGCCTGTTTATTGTCTGCATGGAACTTTTCACAATCAGAAACTGTGTTTGTTGTCTGACTCTGTTACTAGAAGATGTGCTCCATTAGGGTGAGACCCTTGTTTACAGTTGCATCCCCAGAACCTATCAAAGTGGCTAGAACATAGTAGGTGCTCAGTACTATTTAAGTATTTGTTAAAAAGGTAAAAATAGAAAAGTAGAGGTTAGAGGGGTTGGTAATATCTGGAGGTCATATTGATAGCCAGATGAGATTGGAATAAGCTCAATGTGGAAAAGCTCAAGGAATTCTTCCATGTTTCCCACATTTAGAGGTGCGGATGGCAGTGGAAGAGGGGAGGAGCACTGTGTCACCTGCCTTTCAAGAGGCTCTCAGTAGAATTAGAAGACCCTCGGATCAGTAGATGTGGGGAGAAGCGAAGTCTGAATGAGCTAAAAAGCCTTTTGCATTGGCCGTGGCAACGAAGAAAATGAAGTAACCAAAGGAAAGTGCAATTGAGTGAAAAAACAAAAAACAAAACAAGATTCCCGGCATTTAGAATGGGGTCAGAAGCAGTGCGCATCCTCCACATCCTTGTCCACGGTAAACTCCCTGCAACTCCAGGGCTGGCCTTATTGTCAGACTCCAGAAATCTCTAGACTCTGGTCGTAAGAGAAACAGTGCACATACAAATAAAGAGCCGGGAGGGGTGGAGGGAGGTGAAGTCAACACAGAAAAAAATCAAACTCTCCTTTTAGACCTAGAGCGCAACCGGGCGGGGGCAGCGGTGTTCAGCCCCAGAACTCAGTCGGGTTCATCTGTCTGTGTAGACGCTCTGCGTCCCACAGTACCCACGAAAGGCGCATGATCTCCACTCTACCTCACTTCATCAGACCCAGAGGATCGCTGGCTGGAGCGTCCAGTGGCGGCCCAGAACAAGCTGCCTGGGAACTGTGGCTGGATCCTAGGAAGCAAGCTGGCTCCTGTCCCTACCCAGCTCCACCCGGCTGTCGCCTGCCTGTCCTCCCACATAGGAGCTGGAGGATGGTCCAGGAGTGCTTCCGCGGGGCTGCTGGTCCCGGGTATCTTCAGCCCAACATCCCCAATTGTGTGAATCGCGCTTGCATCCAGTTTGGAGGCAGCCTACCTAGCCGCTGACAGGTGCTCTCTGTAGGGCACAGGGTGCGGTCCCTGGCACACGCCCAGGTGAGCGTAGCTTCTAAACCTGAAACCATCAAGAAGAGGGAGGCAGGGCGCGGCCCGGGGGACTCCAGCGGACTAGAGCTGTGGAGGTCGGAGCTAGAAACTTTGCAGGCTCAGCTGCAGGGATTCAGAAACAGATCCAGCCCATTCGGGCAGGTGCAGGAGGAAGAGGCAGCGCCGGAGTCCTACGGCCGGAGAACAGCTGCAGCGGCGTCTATCCCAGGTGCTGGCCTGAAGCCACGGGGCACTCCCAGCTTCTGCTGCTGCGCCCCTCGCCGCAGGGGCCACCGCCGCGGGGCTCCGGGAGAAGGATCAGCCAGGAAGGGCGGTGGAGCAGGAGGAGGAGGAAAGAGGAGGAGCAGGGAGTGGAGGATGGAGCCCCCGGCTGCCGCTGCGGGCTCACCGGAACCTGCAGTGGCGGCGTCCTCCTCGTTCCAGGCCCGGCTCTGGAAGAACTTGCAGCTAGGGGTGGTCAAGAGTAAGGGCGGCGGCAGCGGGCGTGCAGGGGGCCAGGAGCAACGCACTGCCGCCACCCCGTCGCCCTCCCCGCCACCCCCAGGGGGCAGGCGGGACGCACTGGCCGGCTTGGGTGGTACGGGCAGTAGGTGGATTGGCTTCAAGAAACGGAAGCAAGTGTTGGACCGTGTCTTCTCCTCCTCCCAGCCCAACCTGTGCTCCTCCTCGTCAGAGCCCCTCGAGCCCGGCGGGCCCAGCAGAGGTGAGCAGGGCTCCACACTGCGCCGCAGGATCCGCGATCATTTGCTCCCGGCGGGAAAGGCGCCCGCTGCCGCCGCTGGAGCAGGTGGAGTGACGCCTCCTGGCGGACTCTCCCCAGACTCTGCTCCTTCATCCTCCGCATCGTCTTCCCTGTCTTCCTCTCCCCAGCCACCCCCGAGGGGGGACCGTGCCCGAGATGAGGGTGCAAGGCGCAGGGGCCCCGCGGCGCACCTGTGCCATCAGAAGAGTTCCTCGCTGCCGGGCACCGCTAGCGTGGAGCAGCTGCTGCAGCCGCCTCCGCCTCCTGCGGAACCGGCACGGAGCCCGGCTGTGCCTCTGACCCTGGAGAAGGGCGAGGAGCTCGACAGCAGGCAGGTGAGTGATTGGCGTCAGGGGCCACGCCTCCAGCTTTGGGCGACCATGACCCGAGAGTTGTACGGGGTGCAGGTACTACCAAGTCAGTCAAACAGTGGAAAGAACATCCCGCTCCTGCTTAGTAAAGATAAGACTTGTACCATGATTTTACTTTGGGCAGAAATAGGTTTATGAGTTGCCAATGAAAATGGTAGTATTAATAGTAGCCGAAAGGAATGAACTTAGACATAATTTCGGGTACTTTTGGGAGGTCTCCTAGAAAGATTCCACTATGGCTCAGGTTGTCAAAAGAAAAACAAACCCAACAACTTAAAAAACAACAACAACGTTACAACCTCCTGTGACGGTGGTGTGGAAGGGCCAGCATTTGAAACATGTGGTTTGCAGGAAGGAATAGAAATGCAGAGAGGTGACTTGGTGGTAAATGTGAGGTAATGGCTTGGGGAAAGCCTTAATTTAAAGTATAAGTCTGCTGATTTACCCACACTCCCTTCTTAAAACTTCCTCCTGCAAGTGGATCGCTACCCAACAAGTGGGCAGCCTGAGCGTCTCATCCGAGTTAGTCAAACAAGTTCCTATGGCCTTTTGTAAGATTGAACAGTCAACGCTGCTTTCTACATCCTGTTGACTCTGATCACCCAAGTTTGGTCAGACAAGAATCAAGTGAAAATGTCCATGTGGGGTCCCTGAGGTGTTTGAGCAGCTGTTTTTACTCCCTCTGTTTTGTAGAGGGAGGCTCTTGTTTTGTAAATGTCTATCAAATTGTGTTAGTGTTAGCAAATGTTTTGAAAGTTCCATTCTGCCAGGGACCTAAAATACTCCTTTCTTTTGATATATCTTACATTATTTAAACTCAGTATTTTGACTCTGAATTATTGTTTGACTAATGCCATATACATTAAAACTTTAATTTGATTAAAAGTTGAGCTACAAAAATCATAAGGCCATGTTTTGAAAGGATATGGAAATAGATGTGCTTTCAGTTGAAACGTTTTATAGTTTATTAGTATAGTTTCAGAAAATGAAGTAAAACATGAGTGTTTTATTGTTTAATAAACACAATTGATTACAGCAACCTGATGTTATTGATATTCTAGAAAACGTTTTTAATTATTCTCAGAAGAGTAGGTAGAGATATTATTGACATAAAGCCTAAACACACCTACCTTTCCCTTCATCTTGAAATATAATTTAAGCCCTGGCCAGTTTGTCTCAGCGGTTGGAGCGTTGGCCTGCGGACCAGAGAGTCCCGGATTCGGTTCCTGCTAGGGGCACGTACCAAAAAATATATATATATATATAATATATATATTTATATTTATAATTTAAATATATATATTTAAAATATATATAAAATTTAAAAGAAGTCATGTTTCTGGTTCCAAAAGTAAGGTAAAAAGTCATTTTAAAAGGATGTTTTAAATTTAGTATAGATTAGTACTGTGTATTTTAAAAGCAGTTGTTGTTTTTTCCAGTGTGTACATAATCCTAATTATAAGAATTTTAGAGTTGGGATACTGTTTACATTTGCTTTTATGAACCTTTACAATCAAGAATTATGAAACAACAAATAATAATTGAATTAGTTTGATGGTAGATATATTACTGCAAATGTTAACTTACTAAATTACTTTGCAGTTCACTGAAACAAGATATTTTCAAAGCAAAATCAAAGAATTCTGAATTGGTATTTATGTTTATATTTACCAAAAGTGTTCTGATACCATCAACTTTTATTTTTAAAATGCTGCTGTATAAATATGAATTTTGTACTCAAAAGACCTAAACCTATTTTGGAGAAGATACTAAACATACGCTGGGCACTTTGTAGCCATACATGATTTAATCATCACAGCAGTCCTACGTGATAGAATTCTTGTTGCTGTTTTTATGGATTAGGAAACCAATGCTTGAAGAAATTAAAGTAACCTTGCTAGGGTCACATGCTTAATAAATATCAGAGGTTTTGTAGTCAAGTCATTCTCCAGAATCTTTCCCCATGACTATAGTTACCTATGACAACTTTTAGAACTTGTTGTTTCTGAGATGAGTTCAGTCCTATTGATAAATACTTGCAAGTTCACATATATCCTGGAATTTTTCCTCCATCCCTAGAATGAGTTCAATGATGAATTAGGTATATTAATTTGTTTTTTGTTCTTTTTGATTCATTGTTGCATATCAGTTATATCACATTCACAAATGACATTATTAATCATACCAACTACACCCAACATCTCCTGCTGATAGAACCGTGTTCCCAGAGAATTGGACACTATTCTCTGTCATGAGTCACAAATCCAAGTTTCAGTAGCACTCTCTCACCAATGCAGAAGAAAGGATTCCTGAGTCCTCTACTTCTTTGCCCAACTGAAAGGAGTCTGCTTACTTCTCTCAATGGGGAGGAGGAAGAAATGGGGTGGAACTTGGAACTGGAAGAGGTGTCTAGGAGTAGGCTTAGCTCTGCAGCACCCGTCCAAGCTCAGAGTTATGGCTCTGCCAGCACCTCATCTGAAAAAATACTTGGGCATGGGGAGATAGTGTAGGCACATGTAGATTTTCGTTTTATTCACAGTTCACAAGAACAGATGGGAACACATGAAAGAAGAAACAATGAAAGCATTAACTCCATCTTCAGATTGCTTAGACAAAAAGAACTTTCTTTCAAGGGAGAAAGAAAAATTGTTACATAAACAAGGCAAATTGCTCAGTTTTTTTTCTTGTTCTCTGCTTGATCCTGGCATCAGTCATGTTCTCCAAAACATTCCCCATCCCCCAGCCCAGCATGAGGCCCCAACAACATATGTGCACATGCTCTGACACTGTGTAGAAATGTTAAGCAAAAGCCAAAAATCAGATTGAGTTGCTGGGGAAAGAGATTTAGAAGTCACTGATGAATAGTGATTAAAATTGAAGAAGCTATCTCTCATGCCCTGCAAGCCCCCTTTTGCTATTATGTTTTCTTTAGCCAAATATACCTTTGAAACACACCGTAACACACTTGGTAATGTCTTGAACATTAAATAATGTGCATTATTTAAAATAATTTGCTTTGAAAAAAGAAAAAGAAGAGAAGCTTTTCGTCCCACCGATTTCAGTTCACGTGTTGAGCCATATTGTCTCACCAGATGCATTTCATTTTCTGCAGCACAGTTGGGAAAGACGATTTCTCAACTTGTGTGCATATCAAAAATATGCCAATTTTATGTATTCTGTCTTGACGAGTTACTAAAATTATATTCTGCTAGAATCAGAGAGTCAGTATTTTAAAATAAAGAGTGAGGAATGAATATGTTGCATTTTTTAGTGTTTTAACAAAAAACTTGTAGTGTTCATGAATGTTAATCTTTTATTGTTTTTCCTTCAAATTCATTTTGTTAAAATTGTCTTTGTAGAGAAGTAAAACAGTTTTTTTTAGTATGTAAATTATTCAAGGTGTGATAGAAACGTTTCAAAACATAGTAAGAGGAATATTCATTCATTGGGATGAAATTCCTGAAACATGTGTAAGCCCTGACAAAAAGTGGAAAAATATTTTCTAACATTAAGTCTATGTGAAATGCATCTTGCTTTATTAGTTATCTCACCTTTTGAAGAGAGCCTGTATTTTCAAAAACTTTTTTCAAAGGTGATTTTGGTTAAATTTTGCTGTCTATTTTTTGGGTGTCTTTAATATTACTTCAAAGAACATAACTTAATCTTGGGAATGCACAAATTAAAAAAGAAGTTTCAAATGGAAATGACTAAAATCACTTTTAAAAATCTACTAATCACATGAAGCCCCTAAAAATAATGTTAGTAGCTTTTCAAAGTGCGTGTGTATGTGTGTGTGTTGGGGGGGGGGGGGGGGGGTGCGGTGCGGTGGCCAGGAAGAAGTTGACCAGATCTTAGGACATTTTGGGGCAGGGTGTGAAGTGAAGTTTAATGTGTGATAGCGTCCTTGAAAACTACTGGGATCTTCAGGTCATTCCAAAGAAAGGGAGTAAAAAGAGTGGGTGAGAGGTTTACTTTGGGGTAGAGTAATTTCCGTGTAATCTTTAGTTATTATTCCATGTGTCAGGTAGATTTGAGTAGAGCTATGAAGATTGCATAAATGGAAGTGTCATAATGTTGAAATTGGCTTGAAACAGCTCAATAAACATTAGCAATTGCTGGGTTGTTATTATTATTGGACAGTATATTAAAGTTTTTCCATTGCCACCATTACAAATAAGTGGGTGCTTAAAAAAATTTAACAGGGAGCTTTGCTGGTCCTTTGTGTTTAATTTAAGGTATATATTATTATACTTGCTGTGGTGGCAAAAGTAGCTCAAAATTAATCATGGCAGTTCTGGTGACATCACAAGTTCACACAGTAAAAAACAAAAACAAAAAACCTTAACATTATTTTTGATAAGTATGTGCACATTATCATGTAAAGTGAGTACTTTGAGGGATAAAATAGAATTAATAGATTTGTAAAGAAAATAGGACAGACATCCCCCCCCCTTTTTTTCCCCACTGTTTGGAAATAAGCAATGATTTCACAAAATTAAAGGTTAATAATATATCTCCGGTACCTCAGAAAATATGTAGTGTAATTTCTTTGCTCATGATGATTATCACAGTGTTTGTCAACTCTAAATGGATGAAGAGTAAGTAGCATGTCTGGATGACATTGTAAGCCTTGACAGCATCTGCAGATTCAGAAATTAGAGGCATGCATTTTTTTGTTGTTGTTAATTCATAGCTATTTACAGTTTCACAGCACACACCTGTTTTAGATAAGAAGACATTGATTCTTTTGAAATGAGAAACTTTTTTGTTCTGACTTTTTTTTTTTTTTTTTCTGGAAAACTTACTAAAATTACTGTATATATTTCCCTGCCTCAAAAAGCCAAACATCCTAAATAAAACCTTTTCTTGATAAATGAGGATCATTGTTTGAATACTGACTTGGGGGGGGGGTGTTATTTAATGTAAATGAAATGGATAGTGTCCTAAAACTTGCTTTGGATAAG